ATCAACTCAATTAAAGGTCTGCAACCTGCCCTAAATGTAACACCCCGCATTTTCTTTTATATATGTATATAGATATATAGTAAATAATTGTTGTAAAAATGGGGATATGTGTAGTGATGTGTGTTTGAATTGGTAGAATGAAAAAGGGATGAACAGTGCACTGGCTGTAACATCAAGCTCGATTTCGACCTTGATGCAGTCCATATCTCTCAAAACTTAAAACATGAAATTTGTAGATCTCTCTCTTAGGATTCCATATCACCTTGAATCATCTCAATCAGAACTAGGAGGAAGGAGTTATGTCCATATTACGAAGTAGTGTCTACACTGTCCAAAAATCTGTCCGGCAGACTACCTTTCGCTAATTTCATCATAACTCTTTATTGGAAAGTCCGAATTGTGCACCGTTATTTTTGTTAGAACCCTAACTCGTATATCTTTCCAACCATATAGGTTACACCTCCTAGAAATACCTGAGTCAAATCAGTTTATTCTATGAAGTTGACCAAAAATCTGCACTATGGTGCTCCTTGGATAGTAAAGGGTTGTGCTTTCATATTAGACCTTGAAGGTGTAAAATCCCATATGTTTACATTAATATATTAATATACTTGTTTAGTGATTCTTCTATATGTAATGACTTAAGAATAAACCATATATATATATTAAAATCGTAAGGATATCACCTATAGTAGTTCGAAGGAATAAAATAGAAATTTTAATGTTCCAAGTGTGAATTTATTTTAGTTTTGAAATAAATCATAAAAATCAATGTTTTTAGGTTAAAATAACATTAAAAATGAATCCGGAACGTCGAAAAACCTTAGGGTAGTCGTATGGATCAAATTGGAGATTTCTAGTGGCAAAACTGTAATTTTGGAAAAAAAACTCAAAATTCAGCCCATGAACAGTGATTGTCGCGGACTGCTGTGTTTAAAACACAGAAACCAGCCCATTTCCTTCCATTTTTTCTCACATCTCTCACCCCTAAACCCCTTAGCACCCTTGGGGAAGATAGAGGAAAGGAGGAAAGGGAGAAAGGAGGTCATTAGAGCTTGGGTTTGTGGTTTGAAACTTTGATTCAAGGTAGGGGTTATTTCTTCCATGCTTGTCCATTGAGGCTAAGGCTAAAATATATATATGTTTTGATTCATACTTGTATGTATGTGCTAGGAATTCCTTGTTTCTTGGTTTTCTTGCAAGTATGACATGTCTTAAACAAAGTTAGGATTGATTACCCATGAAACTTCTTTTATAGCTTTAAAACCCTAGTTTTTGGGGAAATATGGAATTCTCTTTCTACATTTGCTCAAGCTTGGTTTTGAGAACTTTAGTGCTTTGTGTGAGTAATGAAAATGATGTGGTGGTGATCTCTTGTATTTTTCTTAATTGGTTATTTAGATTGTCGCATGATAAAATTTGGGGATTTTGATAATGGTTGCTTTTTTAGGGCAATGTGTGGATTTTATCTTGTATGTGATTGTTGGTATGAAAAGAGGATAATTATGAACCGAGGTTACTAGTAAGTATGCGGTTAAGTGTGGAATACTTGAAGGGGGTAGAGGTTACTTGTAAGTATGCTACCTACCAAAAGAGGATATTTATGAACCGAGGTTACTTGTAAGTATGCGGTTATGTGTGGGAGACTTCAAGGGGGGTAGAGGTTACTTGTAAGTATGCTACCTACCAAAAGAGGATATTTATGGACCAAGGTTACTTCTAAGTATGCGGTTATGGGAAACAAAGACTTGAAGGGGGTGGAGTTTACTTTTAAGTATGCCACCTGCCAAAGGAAATATAATAATCGATGGTGGAATAAGCGTTCCTTTTTGTAGTATGGTGTTACTATTGCATTTCCCACAAGAGCTTGTGGAGGTATGGGACTCTACAAGAACTTGTTGGAAATGGTTATGGTTGCTCATTGTGACTTGGGTTTACTGTTCATTTAAATTATTGCGAATGTTTAAACTTGAGATCTGTTTCAAATGTCACGGTTTTACTTCAAATGTTATATGATATTTTGGAAAATAAGACCGAACTGTTTTACTTGTTTTCTAAACCTTGTATGAGTATGGAAGGAATGTTGCTACAGAGCTTAGTGCTCATCCCCTACAGATAATATCTTTTCAGATTTCGTCTATGAGGAGGAGTTACAAGTAGATGAACCAGTGCATGGGGAAGCTCCCCTAGAGGGGAACGGGGATCCTGAACTGGATGCCTAGAGTTATATTTCTTTTGTACTAGACTAGAGAGTTTATTTTGAAATCATGTAAAGTCTAGTATTTTGTTATTTCACTGCAAGTGTAATTTAATTCTTTTCGGAATATATTTGTCATACTTGGCCTATTCTTTTGGGATGACATTGTGGATATGACATATGATGAATGAAGGTTTATTTTATGATGGATAAATAGACCCGGTGTGGTCAATAGTTATGCATATGTGGACCCGGTGTGGTCAATTGTAATATAATTGTACAGGTTGTGTTTTGGGTAAAACTCCCCGTACAAAGGAGACTCTGCCCAAATTTTGTTAAAATATGAATGGTTGATGAATGAACTTTCGTTGTGATGAATTTACGTAATGCTCTCATGGTGTGAATGGTTTTAGAATGTAATGTCACCCAAGGGGGTTTTTGGGGCGTTACACTAAAACCATTTTCCAGTGTAGCAAAAGAAATTAAAATTCTCTTGAACAATGGGTTATCCCTCACATATTTCTTGAAATAATCAAGTTTAATAACACTCCCAGGGTTACTCCTCCTTACTTCCCTAACATATGTTGGTAGTAATCCAAAAGATTTTCCATGATGACCCTCTATTTCTTCTATAGTCCTCTTTTTAGCCCTATATAACTAACTAGGGTTGGCCTCAATCTCCCACTTATCCTGCAACTCATATTGTAAAGTTTCTAGGGTCATCGTTGGGTTGTTTTTTATCTCTCTTCTAAACTTTTTAGCAATCCAAATAGAGTTTGCTTCAGGCACCTTCCTATACCTGACACAATTGTGATTTTTACTGTAAGTCCTTACTTTAAAATTAGACTAATCTGGTAAAGGAGATGCATGAATCCTTTACTGGCAGCCCTCAGCAGCGCACTCAATGGTAACTCTAGTCCTCTCATTTTTTTTTCTTATTACTTTTATCCCTGTCTTTATTATATAATCCTTCAATGCATTTCTAAACAAGTCAACATTTCCAAACAACATCCCCACACAAAAGTCCCAATCAATGTTTCCATCTTCAGGAACATTAAACTCCACTCCAAATCTTGAAGTATTATTGACATTGCACTTTCTTTTCCTACCCCTTCTATGTGTTTCATCCACTTCAACCTCAAGTTTCTCAGAATCTGTACTACTAACATATCTTTCACCCCTGATTGATAATCTGAAAACACATCGTCACTGTTTTCATCTAATTGTGTGTTGATGGTATCATCATTATACTCATAACTAACATTGGGGGCATCATCACCATCAACTATCCAGTCATCATCCACATCATCAACTTCATGCCTATTTGCATCCTTGTCATCATTTTCAGCATTAGGTTTGTTGTCATCAACTTTAGGCTATTCACTCATTCCTACATTTGGAGGAGGTGGGAGTCTCACTTTAGACCCAACTTTATCATTCACAAATATAGGTATCTCCTTACAATTTCTATACAAAGAAACATTTCCTATATTTGTTCATCGCCATCAAGTACAAGTTTTCCACTATCATTTAGCCTATCAACTGTAATAGCAATTATTACATTCGATAAACTATCACTCATAAAAACATTAGTAACTTCTGCAACATCTGTTACCATATCCATACAACAATACCTATCAGGGTCGACCTGATTAATGGTGAAAATAGAGTTGTCAAAATGAACAACAATGTCATGCTCTTGCTTGTCCATTTCTGTAGAACCTTTAAATGGCCAAAAAATGAAAATAGATGAGGAAGGAATGATGGACAACAATGTCTCTTACTGGGTGACTAAAACATGAAAAAGAGATGAGCCAAAAAATAACAACATAATGAAAAATGAGGCTCAAGATCAAATTTAAATGGGTAAATTACACAGACAAATTTAAATATGTGCCAAACTTGTGATGGATTGAAGAGTCAGAATAAGATGCCTTAAATGAGATGCTTCGTAGAAGATGAAGAGCCAAATCTAGACTTCGCCCTTTCTAGGTTAGGTTAAAGATTTGATTAATCTACATCCAAACATCATTAGAGTGGCTTTACATATTTGGGTTTTTGAAACAGGTAAAAACAATGGGGGGATTAGGGTTAGTGTTTCTCTGATTCAAGCATGGTCATAGTGGTTTAGGGTTTGAATTTCTCTAATTTTGGAGTGAAGTATGCACGATTTGGGGTTGAATTGACGCATGAATTTGTCAAAGACGATTTGAGGTTGAATCGATTCTCTCTTTTGATTTGGGTTCTCTCTTGCCTTCTTTGTAGATGTGACGAACGGTGTTTTAGTTCAGGACAAAGATATTTTACAAGGCTATTATAATAATTTTGATTTTGAACTGAATTATCAAATTTTTTTTTTGTGATAACAAAAGTAGAGTAAGATTGTTATTTTGCATTTTCTGTTAGCACTGTTTCATTTCTAACGTCGTTGGGGTTCGAGTGTCATTTCTCAAAAAGTCATAGGGTGTTCGTGTAATAAATCAAAAAGTCAGGGAGTGTCCGTGTAATTTATCCAAATTTTTTTTACGATATTTATAAATAGTATACATAGATAATCAAAATAAAAATTTCACATCCAGTATTCGTCAAATGGCGTTACTTGTTTCATTCCTTTCTAAAGAGGTCCCATGAATGTAATGTGGGGTCAATCTTGCGACTATATATGTCTCGTAGTACCGCAGCCCACAAGCAGGAAGCCAAATCAAAACCCTCGCTGACTTGTCTTTTTGACTCGGTTTTGCATTCTCTCTTTGGCTCTCTGCGTGGGGGTGTGGTAATATTAGGTCGATAGATATATAAGAGGATGGCGGAGCAGCTAACTGAGGAACAGATCGCTGAGTTCAAGGAAGCTTTTAGCCTCTTCGACAAGGACGGAGATGGTATTTTCTTTCTATTATTATATGTCAGTGGAATATATGTTATATTATGATACTATGTGTACTCTTTTCTCGCTGGGTTGATTGAATGATATCACTAAGATTTTGGATAATTTCTTAATATTTTGTTTGTACGTGTTTTAGAGAGTGTTTTGAGTTAGAAATTACAACCCTGTTTGTCTCCTATGTTGCGTGTGGATTTGGATCTCCTCAATTTCAAGATCCCCCAACTTCCCCCAATTTCAGTCACCCAGCATTGAGGATCCACTCGTATCCACCATTGGTCCCAAGATACTATGGATGATTGAATATCGGAAAATGAGGGAATCTCCAAATTGACAGCGTCTATATCCGCTGTGGGAGTGTGTGCGAGAGTATGAACAGTAGTAGTTTTGGGATTTGCATCCCTTCAATTTCAAATCTCCACGGTTTCTGTCCATTGCAACTGTTTGGATCCACATACATCCTAAGGAACCTAGGAAATTGATGCTAGATGATTGAGATTGACTGAAATTGTGAGAAGTTTTAATTGAGGAGATCTTCATATATTGTCTTGTATGTTTTGTGTTATGAGCCATCGTGTCTGTTTTGTTCTTAACTTCAACTAGAAGGTACACTTTTTGGATCCACATCCTCTTAGTTTCAAATTTCATTAGTTTCAGCACTGCCTTTTAATATATTGTGTCAAACAAGTTGAACCATTCATGATAGTATTTATTGGGTTCAAGGTTCAACATATCGGCCGAGTCGTATCTGACTTGGCCCCAATTGATACAATAACGCTACACGATATGCTTAATCTGTGAGTCACTCAAATTGGTAATAACCCGAATTCAAATCGGTCTTGTTTTTTGTGAAGAGATGGGAAACATGTTCAATATCATTTGATTGAATAGTTGACCCAGTCCTTTGTTGTTTGAAGAAATCCTCTATTTTAATTGGTATTTTTTCATGAAAAGCAAACATGAATCGGTGTGAATCGGACTCAACTCAGTCGACCCGGCCTAAATTTGTCACCGACTCGGACAGTTTGTCACTAAATCCCATAAGAAGAAGAAAACAAGAAGAAAGCCAAAATAAAAGGCAGAAACCAAGATAAAGTTGAGACCCAATCAAGAACATGCAATACCCAGATGCAAAATCACATTACCTGTGGTTCGCAAAGACCGCTGATGAGGAAGACCCAACCATGATAAGCGAAGAATAACTGCTTTAGAGCTCTGATCGTGAAGACTTATCGCTACTTTTGCCCGTTGGTTCCTTTAAGGATTTCTCTCTATCTCTCTTTCTGTTTGTCTCTCTTGTTGTGTATAGGGAACTGAGTTGTCTAGATTTGAAGGGCCATTACACATGAAGATTGAAGAGCTTTAATGTGAGAGGAGTCTTCACTACTCTTAATAACTAGAGGTAAAGAGACTTTTCAGTCCTCTTTACTATTAAATACCCAAAACAATTTCTAAGTCATTAGTACATACTCAAACATCAGCTTGTACTTTTTATTTTTTATTGGATCTGATTTTGTCGTTAAGATCTAATTTATAATCAAAATTTTACCTATTTTTATCATTTAATTAAAAGTAGACCCTATAAAATATTAGGACCCACAATTAATCCTCAGACAACAATTAATTAATTCTCAAATTAGATCTCCTAAATTAAATCCAACTAACATACTTTTTAAAATCTATTTCCGATAGCAACCATGCACTCCATTTACACTACAATTAATGTGTTTGATTGTATTTTACACATGATGCATGAATTTTACTCTTTATATTTTTATAGAATTTTTTATAATTTTTTTCAAAATTGTAGAGTCTTCTATTTAGCATTTTGGGCTTATCTGATATTGCGCCACTACTGATGTGTATTAGTGCCCTTCGAGTTGATGACCGATATTGCGACTTTGAACAATGATTGGGTCCCACCGGTTGTTATTAAGACTCATGTAAACCCACTAGTAGCCTAATAGGTATAAAGTGTTGGATGATTGAAATTGATGTAATTCTAAGTTATTAGGATCCAAACCCTTACTCTTTTATTTTTTGGATGGTTCTAATCTGAACAACTTAGGTATGTGATGTGCTTAGAATTTGAATATGATGAAAACGTGAAGTGATTTTTTTAAAGTTAATGTTGAAGCACATAGTTATTGAATTGGCCAACAAAAAATCCCTTTAAAAGTTTATATCACTGAGAAAACATGGACTTTGGGTGTGATGTGCTTATGACTAGTTATCAATGGGTTTTTCTTAAAGGACATCATCTCCTTAACACATTTTGTTTTACATTATTCTTAAAGGTTATTCTTAAAGGGTATCATGTAAAACACATTGTGTTTCATGGATTTCTATGACGGAGTTAAAGGTTTGAATCGTTTGATGGGGTATAAAAGAAAGGGAACAGGTGGGCAAAACCACATGGAATGTTGACCTGAACGGACTTTATTGGCATCTTAGCTTATAATAGTGCATGAACGATTTATTTATTGCTATGGGCATCAAACTTCGTGGTAAATTTCTTCCTAGGCTAGGAATTCATGTAACACTTAGTTACATCAATCAACACATTACCATATTGTGTATATTGCTGTTTTTTTTACTAGTATCTTACTATACTTTTTTGGCTCTACTATTACATTTTTCTTTTGTGATGGTGTGTCAATGTGTTTAGAATGCCTATCAGCAAAACAAAAGAGAATAAAAAAAAAATTTATTTAGTGTGTTCTCTTTTAATTACCAGAATGTTGTGATGGGGGTGTATCTTGGTTAAGTGTCTGAAGTTTGTGGGATGAGTGCCATTGCAAACATGCAAAGGATCCCTTCCAATATGTTTGCCACATGAGATTTGTTTATCTGTTCGTCTAGTACATTTCATTATTGGTTAGTCTTCAAGAGGGTACGCTATAAAATTTGCTGGTAGGTTTATATACTACTCAACATGTATTTAACCGGATGTTGAGTACCTTAGTTATGATCAATTTTTTAATTTTATCAAATGATATTTTTTATTGGATTTATATGATCTTTGTATTTGTTCTTCCTTTGAGGGACTCCTTAATTACCTTGTTATGGCTTCTCCTTTTGGATAGCATAAAGTTTGTTGATATTTTTTTTTGGATGAAGAATGCACTGAATCAACACACTATATTTCGTTTAGAAAAGCAAAAAGTTGGGGGTTAAATTTCCACTTACTTCCGGATGCTCTGAGCTTCTTGCTTACAAATGTGAATAGGGCAGGCAACTAATGGACCGAGTATTAGCTGGAAGTTTGAAAAATTGTGGCATGGCTTTCTTTGTCTCTGTTTGACTAGATGGAGAGTCCTTGCAAGGAAGGAAAGTATTTAAAAGAAAATTGGAGTTATAGAACTGCAATTTTTTTGGAAATTTACCATTTTATTTCATGCAAAAAACACAAATTTTGTCTTTCTTGTTAGAGTGGCCCTTTGAATTAGGATTTCTCACGTCACCCAACATTCTAAGCAACTACTCATCCTCCATTCGGTTCATTTTACAAATACATATATTGTCCTTTTACTGTCATAGCCTTCAAACCACAAAACATAACTAGCTTTTTTCGTGATAATATTTATCATTCTAACCAAATGAATTAAGTCAAGTTCTTTTCTTTATTTTCTAATATCTTCAGTTTCTTGCATTCTTTTTATTCATGTCATTATGGAGAGAGCAAAAGGAATAATAGCATTTAAGTTGAGGTGCTTCATTTTTTTGCATAAATAGCATGCTCTGGTGATGCATACTTCCCCCAGCCTTCCTTTTTCTATCCTTACGGACTTCTCGGTGTGCATCAACATATGCATGATCCTTGTGTGTTAAAATGCTTGAAAGTGAGTTTTTATCTTCTAATCCAAAACATCAAAACAGTATTGCAACTTATAATTCTGAAACTTTAAGAATCCCTTAGGAACATTTATTTTACCAGAAGAAGAAATCGTAAACCGAGGAAAAGAAAGCACAAATCCTCTTTTCGCTTAGCCGATATGCAGAACAGTTATAGTCCGAATACTCATAAGTCCAATACCATTGATGTCCAATAGCTTTGATAGTAATGGCTGGATCTACTACTGCCTCGTCCATTGAGTATAACAGAGCAAATGATGGTATAACAATGACCATCAGGATGATACTAGGAAATCAGGTCCGAAGAATCTTGATAGTAGTTCCATGAACAATCCTTTGTGGGACTGGATTTTTTTGATGGTGGAAATGCATGGATTCATAGTTATTTATTGAGTTATTTTTTTTTTATTCTTTGGGATTAGTTTGATGGTAATGCTAGCAAGTTTTTGGCTTCGTGTGGTTGCATGTATAGAATGTACTTATTTTGATGCTTTGGGGAAAATTTTTTGCTCTTTTGCTTTAATAACCACGCTCTTTTTAAGTCTGTAGAAATAAATTTCAGTTATCCTTGTGATACACTTTGTTTTTATAGGTTGTATTACAAGCAAAGAGTTGGGAACTGTGATGAGATCTTTGGGACAAAATCCCACTGAAGCTGAACTGCAAGATATGATCAATGAAGTTGATGCTGATCAAAACGGTACCATAGATTTCTCTGAGTTCTTGAATTTGATGGCACGAAAAATGAAGGTGAGTTCAATTCTACATCTGCTAATATCTATCTTGTTCCCTCTTTATGCCTAAGAGAGAAAATTAGAATGCTGCTTTGGTAACAGATTTTGCTGCAACTTGTGCTTGTTTAGAACATGCCACCCTAGTGTTCTTTTCTTGATCAAATTCAGACGACTATGTTCCCATGATTTGTTGTAGATGATGTTTTTCCAAGGCAGTACATGCGAGTATATGTGATGTAATCCACTGTAGGGTTCCTTTTTTTGGAAGCAATAAAGTGAAATAAAGAGGAAAATAAGGAAATATCCGAAGAAAAGCAAGAGGGTAGGTGCAAGAGCAGACCAGTAAGCCTCTTGTTCAAAGGAAGAAGAGGATAAGCACTCTAATTTGTGGTGCAAGGTGCATCAAAGCACTCAATGGGGCCTAAGGGCAAGGCACGAGATGGGACACAAGTTCAATCAAAATAGGGTGCATGTTTGTAAATAAAAAGCTAATATTTTCATATAAACAAAATTTTCAAGCATCCTGTCAATTACAAAATTAAGCAATCAAGTTCAAGAATCCAATCAAAATGCAACTAAACAGATTAAGCACTTACGAAGTTATTGTCTCTACTTCTTATGGTCTATAGCAGTTAAAAAGATTTAACAGCGTGTCTCAAGCATATACAACTCTACTCAACTGATCATTGCCCCAATTACTTGGGGTCGACTATAATGAATCCTATTCAGCCATTACATCCTTTCAAGGGTCACATTTTTTGTCAAACAACAAGTTATTAAATTTTTTTATACCCTTTTGGTTAAAGTTAATTTTGACCTCCCTCTAGCCTTCGCATTGCCATTAGTGGCTATCACACCTTTCTTCCTCACTGGTGTAGTAATAGGTCTTGTTTGAATGTATCAAAACTACTCAAATCAATGCTCTTTTAGCTTATGTTTTATTGTTAGTTCTACTTGTTTTGCAGTTGTATCAAACATATGAAGGCACAAATTCAACTTATTATTATCATAAATATTTACAAATTTGGGATATTATAGGACAAATAACATTGACTGACAAATGAAAATTAACATACAGTACATATTTAGAAAATGACATAAATTAATAAAAAAAAAAAGGAAGACAGCAAAACAGAAAAATAGAAGGCTTAAGAGAGAGATGTGGCATTCAGAAATCTGTTTGCGGCCAAAGAGGAAGTTGAAGATGAATAGATAGGGAGAAGAGTTACCTATCAAGATTGATTAAGTTCGTGTGCTAGATAATTATTTTGAAACTTAAATCTTGTGTACAACTCAGCTCAACAATATCTTATACCAACTATTTGGAATCTTGTGCATGGACACATCAAATATTTCATCCAACTTAGTAGATCCGAGAGCCCAGTGAATATCACTGAAGGAAAAGAAGATGAAAACTCATTTGCTTTACTTAGGCTCCACATATTCGCCTTGCCTCAGTCCTGTCAAGGCACAATCGGTGTGCCTTGCCATGCCTTTTGCTTAGGCGTAGGCTAGTTTCGGTCTCCACAATGTTACCTGAATCGTGGGTTGATTTAGTACGTGGTACGTGTATGATACTTATTTAATATGCAATATGAGGGGGCAGACTTAATTGGTATACTGTTTTGGGACATGGTTCGTTTTGTAACATTTATATGGAATAATATATTTATATACTCACAGTTAACAAATACTTATTTTATATTTTTGACTGGTGTTACCAAAATATGAGTTCAAAGAAAACAAAAAAAAAAAAGAAAAAGAAAAAAGAAATAACTAGGATTATGATTTGGGGTTGAGGTTATGATATGAGATTCTTTAAATCATGAGTCAATTTGTGGTTTAAGTTATAATTTGGTGTCGAGATTTTGAATAATTTGGATCACTAACCCACCACATTTTAGGTTGTGCGACCTTGGTTCGTGAGATGCTAGGGATATGATTGTGGTATCTATGGTGGTCTTCACAATACTTGGGATAAAGATTCTAAAATTTGTCGATATGAGAGAGACCGCCCACATGTGTGCAATAGTGTTACTTCATCCATAATTCCCTACATGCAATACGACCCTAATGACAGCTTTGTATTTTCTTGTTTTGGAAACTGTAATTCATAAGAAAACTCCCAACATAACAGCGGTGAAAGGACCTAAGAAAGGCATAAACCTAAAAGCTAACTTCCAAAAGAAGATTCTCTGAGCCTTGGAAGCTTTCACACGAATATCCTGTATAAAGCATTCTGAGCCAAGAGTACTGCCTGGAAGACTCTAAATTGTAATTTGGATTACATATGGCACGGTTATGTTGTAATGCATTGGTATAACATCCATATGCATGTCACAGTGTGTGTTTATATTTGGTAATGCCTTTTTTTTTTATCTCAACATCCTTTAGTTGTTTTTATCGAATAATGACAGGTTTAGCTGTCTACACTATTGCAGTTTCTTATTTCAAGTCAAACTTACACCATCAAACTTTTGTTTCTAGTTACTTGTCTGGTTATAGTTTTGGCAGCTGCCTGATTTATGCTAACCATTTTCATGTGCTGCTATTTGCTTGAAAAATTCATGTTCAACACTTGCCTGCAAATCTAGCGTATCCTGGCTTTTGAAGTAATCACTTGAGTATGTATCCCATGTTCCCAAATAATTGCGCCTGGTGTAAACTGGGGATTTTACACAACCCATGCCATGCCTAGGCTGTTGTTAAACTTTGTGCTTTTTGTGCAGTGTATACATTGATTGGATATCAAGAGACATCCAATTTCTAGGATTATATTTGGTACAAATAAAATCTAATTTCTGTTCATGATCAGACAGCCATCATGTCTGTAACATATAGCAGTAGCAATTTGTCCCGGTTAGGTGTTGTGCATCATGGGTCCCATGGATTTAATGAAAGGTGAACTATCTGAGGTGTAATTTGATCCACTCACACTCACACTCATGCATGGTGAAGCCAAACCAAGTGGAAGTATTGTCCCAATTATGAGGTCAATGGAGCAGCATGACTACAAAAAATAAAACCTTTTGTGCCTTTTATTAAGTGGATAAAAATAATCCTTCTCTAAACTGATATGCATACACACACATATGCAAGACAAATAATTTCTAGGGCACTGATTCTGATGATGAACTCGAAGAAGCTTTGAAGGTGTGAAAACCATACAGTATCTTAAACAGTAGTGGGTCCCATTGGAGTGGACCCCACTCCCCTCTTCCTTTATTGAAAGTAATAGATGAATAAAAATAGTTTTTTTTTATCAAGTGATATCTCATGTACTTATGAGAGCACGAAAGGAAATAGTCTGACCTATTAGCATTATGCATACGCGCACATGCAAGACAATGTATCCGAATTTTCTTCTTGTGAAGGACACTGATTCGGAGGAGGAACTCAAAGAAGCTTTCAAGGTGTTCGATAAAGATCAAAATGGCTTTATTTCTGCTGCAGAGGTAAATGCATTATGCAACTTCTAACTCTGCCCATCTATTTATTTATTTTTGAACTGATTAATTTTTCTAAAAGTGAAATTATACTTAAAAAAATTGAAACCCTGTTTTGCATGGAGGTCAGTAGATTACCCATGGGATCTTACTCTAAAGCTTTTTGATTTTTTCTTCTTCTTTTTGCTCATGTTTGTGTGCAAAATCTTGCAGCTTCGTCATGTAATGACAAACCTGGGGGAGAAGTTGACTGATGAAGAAGTGGATGAGATGATTAGGGAAGCAGATCTGGACGGTGACGGTCAAGTGAATTATGAGGAGTTTGTGAGGATGATGCTTGCTAAGTGAAGGCCGGCCACAAATTGTTTGAAGTGATTACTTAAATATGATTATAGTCATAGTCTGACCCCGGGATTGTTTCTAGATGGTATTATATTCTGTTTTGCTTTTTGTTAAGTCTTGAGCATGCACTGTAGAACTATCAACTGGTACAATCATATGGTTCAAAGTGGGACTTTGTTTGCCGAATGACTATGGGGATCCAAATTATTTTGCGCCAGCCTAATACATAGAGCTTTTCCCCAAAATCAGCCTTCCACAAATCTTTATTTTCAAACTCAGCTTGTTTTAAACTTATTTCTCAAACTCAATCTCTTTTTAAAAGCGTTATTTTAAATGATGTCTTCATGGGTTAAACCGTTATTTGAAAAGACGATTTCAAATTGAATTTTTAAATCATCATTTGGAATGACGTTTTTAAAGGCGTTAATGAGAATTATGTTAAAAAAGTGAATTAAAAACAGTAACATAATAGGCGTTAAAAAAATTAGTGGGTAAAAAATATCATTCTAAATGATGTTTTTAAAAATATTATTTATAATGATATTTTTTATGACTTACACTCAGAGTTCAACTTTCCCAAAGTGTTTAAACTAAACCCATCGAGTTATCTATCCTCTCCACTTAACACGTCTGACAAAAATCAGTCCAGTGTAGGCTTTTACTGCCGACGAAAACCACTCTGGTGCAGGAGTCTGCCTCCGACGAGTTTCAGAAATTTGATACCTGAAGACGCATTGCCTGCAAAAACTGCCTGCATGTAACGTCCCGGCAGTTCCCTGGTGGCTCTGATCAAGCTTCCTGCGGTCAACCCATCGGCTAGACTACACACCACCAGGGCCAAAACAAGAACCACATAAGCTATATGTGGCCTCTCTTGAGGCTCATTCTTAGGAGAAATCTAATCTGTCACAGGCGTTACCATGAAAGCAACAATGAACAGAGCTTGGCCGGAGTTCATCCTTAGTTAAAAACAGGTAATTGATTCCAAGTAGGCCAACAATTCAGAAGAACAAGCATCAGTAGCGTTGAACCCATGTAAGCCACAGAGAAAACCTTGTCAATGTGTTTGTTTGGATAGAGAAATTCAAAGTAATCAACGGCTGTAATGAATGAATTCCATGAGATCATATTCCCAGCTCCGAGCAAAAACTGGTCACAAAATTTAATCATAAAGGCAATGCAACTGTAGAAAACAAAGAGAGTTATGGCTGAAAAATTCCGAGTGGGGACAAATAGCTTCCAAACGTCAATACTGAAACAAAATATCTAGCCTCAGGTTGTAAAATTTGGCTATGAATTTGTTACAAGTCATTATTTCCCGACCTCCCACGGTTGCAACTGATTATTATCACCATTCCCCCCCGGAAAACGAAAAAAGGAACAGAAGACCACAGAGAGGTTATTAGATACAGAAGCTGCAGCTAGAGGAGGCCAATTAGAAGCTCCTTCAAAGAACTTTGGTGATGGGCTCCTGCGGTCCATGCCATATAGGTCTCTTTCTTCCTCTTCCTCTTCCTCTTCTTCTTCAGCATCCAGAGAAATCGAGCATATGATGCTAGAACATGACAGCATCAATGTATTAACTCCAACTTGGTCTGTCTTGAGAAAGATCAGAGTAACAACTTAGGGCCTTTGGGATTTGGGAAAGTGGGGGGCAAGTTGTAGAAAACATCATTTACAAATACGTTTTTTAAAACGTCATTGCAAATGATGTTTCTACCCATTAATTCTTTTTAACGTCTGTTATGTTGCCGTTTTCAATTCACTTTTTTTAACGTCATTTTTACTGACGCCTTTAAAAATTTTATTCCAAATGACGATTTAAAAAAAAAATTCAATTTGAAATTGTCACTTCAAATGACATTTTTAAAAAGAGACTGGGTTTGAGAAATATGTTTAAAACAAATTGAGATTGGAAATAAAGATTTGGGAGAGGCTAAGTTAGGGAAAAACTCCTAATACATATGGATTGGGGACTACCCTTGTCTTTTTTATGCACTAGTAGTGCATCATGTTTGTTGTGTGTGATAAATTTTAGATCATAAAAATTCTGATAAAATCTATAAAATGAATATAAGGGTATCTCCAATGTTGATTTAAACTCAAACTCAAACTCAAATTTGAATAAAAAAAATGAGTAAAAAATATGATTTGGTATGAACCTCTTTAATAGACAAAATTAAATTTATATTCAAAATTTTCTTAAAAAATTTCCATAATATCTTAAATGCTCATTGTTTAAAAAAAAAATTTCCCACATTTTTCCCTTTTTCCTTTCTCTATTTCTTTTCGTCCAAAACATCTTTTCCAAATTTCATTCCCTGCTTAGATCTCAAAGGAAAGATGATATTGCTAGACTACTTGATGTTGGAGAGACATGTGGGTTTCTTGGAATGTTAAGAAGTTTAGATTGCATGCATTGAGAATGGAAGAATTGTTTGATTGCATGACAATGTCAATATTAGGGTCATGTATAAAAACTTACCATAATTTTTGAATATGTAGCTTCATATAAACTATGAATTTTGGCATGCCTTTTTTGGAATGTCAAGACCTCATAATGATATTAATGTTTGAACTTGCCCAAGGGCGAGCCCCCCAGCCAATTACTTGATCAATAGGCACACCTATAATATGTGATATGTATAAATACTCTATGGACAACATTGGTCCAGACTATTTCTTCCCCACAAGGAGCAAAAAAATAACAATTTTCTATTATGCAAGAATCAGTGAAAAAAGATATAGAGCGAGCATTTGGAGTCCGTCAATCTCGTTTTGCAATTATACGGGGAGCATCATAGTTTCGAGATCCTGAAACACTAGGAGATATCGTGAAGACTTGCATTATTTTACACAATATGAATGTTAAAGGTGAGCGAGACGACTATACCGATTTTGATTATAAAACAGAAGATCATAACTCGCCAATAGTAATTTCATCAGAGATCAACAATGACTTTGAATTATTCATGGTCCATCATTATAAGAATTAGAGATAAGAATGTCTATCATCAACATATTCTTAATACAACATAAAGAGAAATAATAATAACAGTAATGAATTGAGATTGACCTAAGAATGCAACAGAAGTTCGAAGTTTTCTGGGATTGGCAGGATACTATTGAAGATTTGTGGAAGGATTTTCTAGAATAGCTATGTCAATGACCCAATTCACCCGGAAAGGAGAAAAGTTTGACTGGACCAAAAAATGTGAACATGCATTTAATAAAGTTGACCACGACACCTGTCCTTACTATACCCGAAAGTGGTATTGGGTATGATATTTATATAGATGCATCATTACAAGAACTTGGATGTGTATTAATGCAAAATAACAAGGTGGTTACTTATGGATCAAGATAATTAAAAGTTCTTGAATGAAACTATTCCACCCATGATTTGGAACTAACATATGTTGTCTTTGCTCCGAAGTTGTGGCGTTGTTATCTATATGGGGAAAAATTTCAGATATACTCGGATCACAAAAGTCTTAAGTATATATTCACTCAAAAAGACTTGAATCTCCGATAACGACGCTGGATAGAGTATCTCAAGGATTATGATTTCACACTTCAATACTATCCGGGGAAAGCTAACATGGTAGCTGATGCATTGAGCAAAAAATCCCAAAGTGCAGTGATCAACGTGATGAAGGACAAATGGTGATTGAGGGAGACACTAAAAGACTATGACATCTGGATGGGTGAAGAAGGAGGTTAACCACATTTGTTTAATTTTGTTGCTCAACCAGTCCTTCGGCAAAAAGTTATTGAATTAAAACGTTCGGATTCCTACGTAAAATCCATCTGCACCCAACTGGAAGAGGGGAACATTCTTGAGAATTGGTGGATACAAAAGGGGAAATTATTATATCAAGGAAGGTTATGTGTACGCGATATTGCTCAGTTGAAAGAGAAGATACTCAGGAAATGCCATCGCTCTAAATTTTCCACACATCCTGGTAGCACGAAAATGTATCAAGATATGAAGCATAAATATTGGTGGAAAGGAATGAAGAAGAATGTGGCTAAATTTATAGCTTGATGTGTTATATGTCAGATAGTAAAAGTAGAGCATCAAAAACCTGGTGGGTTGTTACAATTCTTACCTATTCTATAATGGAAATGAGATCATATCACTATGGACTTTGTGATTGGATTGCCTAGACCTACCAAGGGATACAATGCAGTATGGGTTATAATGGATCAACTCATCAAATCAGCTCATTTCTTAGCCATGAAAAATACTGATACTCTAGCTACATTAAGTCAACTTTATATACTGGAAATTGTAAGATTACATGAGGTACCGTTATCAATTGTATTAGATTGTTTTGTGGCTCAATTTTGGCAGAGTTTACAAAAAGCCATGGGAACCGAGTTGCATTTCAGTACTGTCTACCATCCTCAAACAAATGGTCAATCTGAAAGGGTGATCCAAATATTGGAAGATATGTTACGATCTTGCGCTCTAGATTTCAAAGACAGTTGGAATAAACATCTTCCATTGGTGGAATTTGTTTACAACAATAGCTATCAAAACAGTATTGACATGGCTCTGTATGAGGCTTTGTACGGATGAACCTATAGATCACCTCTATGTTGGGGCGAAGCTAGTGATTGCATTTTATTTGGTGCAGAAATTGTCCGAGAAACCACTTAGAAGATCAAGTAGTTCAGGATCAGCTACGCACGGATCAAAGTGGACAAAAGAGTTATATAGATCAAAGGAGGAGACCCTTAGAATTTCAAATGGGTGATTATGTATTCTTGAAGGTATCCCCTAGGAAAGGAATATCTAGATTTGGGAAAAAGAGTAAATTGGCTCCCAGATACATTGGACTCTTTGAGGTGATACAACGTATTGAAAATGTAGTTTATCAACTTGCCTTGCCAGTTCAGTTATCAAGAATACATGATATATTTCATGTATCCATGTTAAGGAAATATGAACCAGATGCGTCTCATGTTATCGATTGGAAGGATGTCCAAATTCAAGAATA